ACCCAAGTTCAGTGTTGGTTCTACAGTATTATAGTTCCTGAGTTACTAATAGATAGACTTTTTCGCCATATAAAATCTCTATGGGGGAAAAAAAAACATAATTGTATCTGCTCCTGGCCATTTTTGTTTAGCTGGGTTCCAGTTTTCTTCTTGCCTGACATTCCGTTCAAATTAAAGGATAATAAGGCAACAAGTGAATTGCAGAGTATAAAACCTAGTGCTATTAGTACAGTCACAGATGTCTGGTCTGAAAGATTGATGACATGGCATTGACACGTCCAACTGCAGGGACCCAGAGGCAAAGCAAACAAGTGTCTAGAGAGAGGAGGAAATCCATGGTCCCTAAACATTCCCTGGGAAGTTTTCGATGGGTTTTCTTTTCGGTTTCCCTGGTGGTTCAGACAATAAAGAATCTACCTGCAATGCAGGAAACCAAGGTTTGATCCCAGGGTCGGGAAGGTCCCCTGGAGAAGAAAATGGCAACCCATTCCAGTATTCTTGCCTGGAGAATTCCATGAACAGAGGAGCCTGGCGGGCTATAGTCCTTGGAGTCACAGAGTCGGACAGGACTGAGCAACTAAGCAGTCACACATTTCTTCCTTTATTCCTCACCACCTGGCCCAAAACTTCCTGCCAGGAATGACTGTCTCCTTCAAGGTAGGATTTTTCACCACTGCACTATCTGTTCTGTGAGTTTCTCTTCTAGTTCAGAGCGTATCACTCCTCATGTTAAATAGCCTTCAGTGATGCCCTATTATCTATACTTCTCAACCTTATGGTTGTTGTCAATGTATGCCTGTTTTCTCCAACTTTAGCGATCAGAAGCATCACCTACGGATACTAATTTTAAAAGTGAAAGTCGCTCAGTCATGTCTGACTCTTTGCAACCCCATGGACTATATAGTCCATGGAATTTTCCAGGTCAGAATACTGGAATAGGTAGCCTTTCCCTTCTCCAGAGGATCTTCCTAACCCAGGGATCGAATCCAGGTCTCCCTCATTGCATGTGGATTCTTTACCGGCTGAACCAGAAGGGAAGCCCAAGAATACTGGAGTGGGTAGCCTGTCCCTTCTCCAGAAGATCTTCCCAATCCAGGAATCGAACCAGGGCCTCCTGCATTGCAGGCAGATTCTTTACCAACTGAGCTATCAGGGAAACCCTAGACTAAGACTTAATGCCAGAGATTTTGACTCAGAACTTGAGCAGGACCTAAAAACCTGCATTTTAATAGACTTCCCCTGGTGATTCCGACGCAAGTGGTCCACAGATTACATGTTGGCCAATCAGTGACACAGAAGTCACACTCCTTGGCCTGGCTTTCAGGGCCCTCTCAAATTTGATGCCCGCTTGCTTAGCCAACAGTATCCCTCCGTCACCCTCACCCCACCCCTACCAACCCCCCACAGCCTAACCCTAGTGCTTAAGACTAAACTAGTGGATGAGCTTTCTTTACATTGTGCGATTTCTGGGTATCTGCTGGAACTGCTCATTCTCCTTGGAAAGACAAAATTATCTCTCCTGTACCTTCTTCCCCTTGCCTTAGTATGTCATAGAGTTGTTCAAGCAGTAGGTTGCCACACATACCTAGGTTGTGAGCAGCTTTTTACTTAAATTTATGACTACCAGAATAAAATACACTAGACAATATTGTAACAGTTGTTTCAGTTAATTATGCATAAACATACATATGTATGTATTGTGTCAGGACATAAAATGTGTTTCTTACTGTGAGTTATAGTAAAATACTGCTACCGACAACAGCATTGAAAGCCATGGCTATAGCACTCACCCAATTTGTCTCTCATTAGAGCCATCAGTATAGCATTCTGTTTCTCCACTATTGTGAACCTGTGGAAAATAAGAAATAAAGCCACTCTTATCCCTCTGGCATCCGTCATGGTATTTTGTGCTCAATAAATGTTAAATAAATTGAATTGCCTGCATGATCACCATCATGACTTTTCTGGGCTTAACTACTTCAGATCAAGAATTCTTTTTTCAGGGTTAGGGTTGGGGCTGTTCCTTTCAGAAATTGCTCCTTTGTGAGCAATGGAGCATTGCCAGGGGAAGTGGCCACTCATATTGGCCAGAGCAAAAGGGTAGCATTTTCTAAGGCAGTGAGGTTGCTTGGTGCAACCTATTTCTTTTGGAAATTCCAGTGTATAGTCTGAGGAACAGAGTGGATGACTCTCTGGATCAATATGGCCCTCTGGAAAGAACCCCTAAAGGAAGGTGGCTACATGAGCCTTTTAGGTATGAGCACTTGTTGAACATGTATCGCTCAATGAACAAGCCACTGTACCAAGCGCTTAAGAACCTAAGAAGTCTTTGGCATGGGAGACAGACTGAATGACTTTCGGACCACGGATATGTTTTCTTAAGCCTGCACAGTGGCAGTGAAACAAGCCAAGGTTGTTGTTTGAATGTAAATCATATTATTCTCACCTTGTTCTCACATGTATGTTAATTGCACATCTTCTTATGAGTTTGGGACCTCTTCTCTACAGCAAAGTCCCCTGGCTTTGAAGAATTCTGTACAGAAGAGAAGCAAAGACATACACTTTCAGAAATAATTTCCGGACCAGGTCCCTTGAACAGGGTGATCAGGGAGCCAGTAGGTCAGTAAGTCCAGCAAAGGGAATTGTTGCCAGGGCAGGCATGCCGGATGGGGGTAGAGCTGAGCTTCAAACGCAAAACTTGGGCAAGTGCAGAGTAAAAAGAGGACACTTTCTATAAGACAGGGAGAGGAAGGAAGGTCTGGCTTATTGCAGCACAGGATCAGTGATAGTCAAAGGCCATACAAAAATGATCCTAAGGAAGACTGGGGTACACAGGGCAAAGCGAAGAGGGGAGGCTAAAGAATTTATTCAGATATCAAAAAGGTTTTGCTACAGGGTCTTCAGTTTATCCTTGACCTCAAAGTAAGATTTGGAAATTAGTGAAATAATATCAGTCATTTTTTAAAAGGCAAAAGTGGCACACTTGTTAGAATGGTTCAAATAGGAAGACAAAAGTGGTAATGCTAAAATGCTAAATGCTGGTGGAGCAACAGGAACGCCTGTTCATTGCTGGCGGGAATGCTAAATTGCACACCCGCTTTGGAAGACACTTTGGCAGTTTCGTGCAAAATTAGACATACTTTTACCATATGTTCCCACAATCACACTTATAAATATTTGCCTAAGTTGAAATGTATGTTCACTCAAAAATCTATATGTGATTGTAACATCAGCTTTATTCATAATCCATGAAAACTGAAAGCAGCCAAGATGACCTTCAGTTAGTGAACTAATAAACAAACTGTGGTATGTCCAGACAATGGATTATTATTCAGCAATAAAAAGAAATGAGTTATCAGACCAGGGAAAGACCTGGAGGAACCTTAAATACAAATCACTAAGTGGAAGAAGTCTGTCTAAAGAGGCTACATGCTATGTGGTTCCAACTGTTTGGCATTTTGGAAAAGGCAAAACTACAGAGATAGTAAAAAGATCAGTGGTTACCAGTGGTGGTGGGGAGGGAGAGAGATGAATTGGCACAGCACAATGGATTTTCAGGGGGAGAAAGTATTTTCCATGAAACTGTAATATGGACACGTGTCATTATGCATTTGTCAAAAGCCATAGAACCTTACAACACAAAGAGTGAATCTCAGTGTAAACTATGGCCTGTAGTTAATAATAATGGGTCAACACGGGCCCATTAAATGTAAGAATTATACCACACAAGCACAAGTTTGTATAGGGGTATAATAGGGGAAATGGGGTGTGGGGGAGGTAAAAAGATGGGGGGTTGAATACTTAGAACTCTGTGTACTATCTGCTCAGTTATTCTGTACATCTAAAACTATGCCAAAAAATAAAGTTTACTATTATTTTTTTAAAAGGTCTCTTTAAAAAAAGCTCCGCGATTTCACGTTGAAAAAAGGAAAAGGCAAATGTGATGAGACTTATTTTTTTAATTATTATTTTTTTTAAGAGACCACAAAGAAGATGCAATTTTTTTTTTGGCGGGGGGGGGGTGGTCTGGGTCAGGGGGATGGCTGAGCCGGGTCTTCACTGCAGTGTGTAGACTTCTCTAGTTGCCGAGTGCAGTCTCTGGAGTGCACGGCTCAGTAGTTGCAGCGTGCAGGCTGATGAGACGACTTATTTTTAAGTTGTAAGAGAGCCAGCAAGGTAATCCGGGAACCTTGCTTGTAAACTGCACAGCCAGTTCTGCTACCCAAGCCCCTGGTCCCTTACAGACTCCCTCACCTGTTCAGTAAATCCATGCCACCTTCTCTCAGCTCTAGATGCTCAGTGCTATTGGATTTGTACAGTGAGCTGCCCTCGAAGAAAGATAGAACCAAAAACCTTCACCCCTTCTTAATTAGCTGTATTGGCTCATGAAAGTGAAATTGGGCTTGTCTGGTAAATTTGAAAAAGCAACATCCCAGATTATTTTCAGCAGAAAAAAAAGGGGGGAGCTTTTCTTTGGCTGAACTTTTCTCAACCAACTGTAATGACAGTTTTTCTGGTTTGATTGTTAATTCTCCCTAATTACGTAGAAGGCCCTTGAAAGTTGTTTTGATGGATTTCCTCTTCTGAATAACTAGATGAAGCAATCAACCCACCTTTCATATTATAAGAAGGTTCTTCTTTTTTCTTTTTTAAAAATGACTCCTCCGCTTTGGAATAATTTCTGCTAGTGATCATAGTGGTAAATTCCAATCAGTTGCTTTGAAGGAGGTGCTTGTTTTAAATCTCTCTAAAATCATCCAGCACTGGACCTTTAAACCTGGATTAATCCCCTTGAGTTCTAAACCATTTTGCTTTGGGAGCTGAAATCTGGTTCCAGCACCTTTTGAACCACCCATGTTTGCTTTGAAAGTTGGCACTTTCCATTAAAATGCAAAAAAGATGGGAAATAAGCCTTACAGAGCTGAAGGTATTGATTTCAACAATCACCTTTAACCCACACCTTTTCTCTTTTTAATGTGAGGTTTTCTTCTCTTAATTAGAAAGAGCCAGGGATTATCTACACAAAACTGGAAGGTTTATTGTCATTGGTGGGATCGTCTCTCCTGTCCACGACTCCTATGGAAAACAGGTGGGTTTCTCCTTTGTCTCCATCCTCCCTAACCCCCTTTCTTGACCTAATGATGCCACTGGTGTAAAACTGCCCCACTGCCATCTCTGCTGAGATTCTTAGAAACACAGACCACCCAGTAGCAAGTGTCCTGCTTCCCATCTCTGGAACACAGTCAGACCTGAGCCAGTGGGAGTTGGGCAGCAGCTGGGGGAAACAGCTGCCCATGCCCAGGCCCAGTCAGCACGTGTTAGAAGAGGAGCTGGTCCACCTGCTGAGGGCCGAGGATGCCAGACTGGTGGCTGGTTATGGGCTGGGCAATCTTTCCTGGGATTGTAGGAGAAAAGGCCTCTGCCTCTTATAATAATCTGCCTTACAATTCATGTTCCCTTTCCCTCCCTCCCTGCCCCACATCCCAGAAAATCCGGATGCTGTCCCAGTCCTTCACCTCCTCCCCCAGATACAACCTGGTGGGCTCCGGGGAAGTCACCCAGCCCGATGGAGCCGGGAGACCAGGCAGCACTTGCCATGTTGTCTCCCTCATCTCTGTGCTGGGCGCACCCTGGCTGCTTCGTCCATCGGTGGAGGCTCACCTCCGACTCTGACGGGGAGGGGAGCGTACCGCTCACACCCTCCCTTCTGTCTCTTCTCCCCGCCCGGCACCTCCACTCCATGCCTGCGTGTGGCAGGCGGACACGTGGAGGGCTCCCTCTCACTCTCTGTCAGCCCTGGACAATGCTGCACTTTTTTAACGGGCAGATGTGGGATGGCGTCTTGGGGAGCCTGTGGGGAGCAGGGCCGGCCTCTCAGCGATCGCTCTGTTGCTTCTCAGGGTCTTGTGTCAAGCCGGCACCGTCTCATCATGTGTCAGCTGGCCGTCCAGAATTCCGACTGGATCAGGTAGGGTTTGCCTGAGGGTGCCAAAGTGGGCGGCCCTGGGTCTCCCTGGGGCTGGGTGGGAAAGAGGAAGGGTCCCCACAGCAGTTTGGACCCCGCAGGCGTGCAGAGCATGGGGAGATATTAGCCCCACGCAGGCAATAATTACATAAACATTTTGGGGTGGCCTGATGACTTATTTTTTAACCAAGCCATGGAGCCAGTGAAACTAAAGAGGGAGCTTTCAGTGTTTCATCTGCTCTGGCACCTGTGGACTCAAGAGTCTGCTCAGAGTTTCCAAAAAGATCATGGGGACTGGGGTGGAGCAGGGCCAGAAAACTCAAAATACCTCTCCGCTTCCATCCCCACTCACTTGCATGAGCTCTTCACTACCTTTCAGGGAAGGTTCCCGGCCTTGGCTGTTTTCCACTCCTGTTCAGGCACCCTAGGGCCCCTCGCCAAGGGCGGGACAGAGGTGTGTGTCAGTGGGATATGAGTGCACACGGCCTTTCCCTCAGAGGGTCCCTGGACGGTCCCCTCGCTAAGATGGCAGACACCATTATCCGCTGAGCTGGTGGTGTAATTAAAGCAGACTTCCACTAATTATGCTAATTATGCTCCCCAAAGCTCCTACAGTTATAATTTGCATGAGAAGATGACGATTTAAAAAAAAATAACGACACACCATGTGTCCCCTAATTCCCCCTCATGAAAGAATAAGCAGCACCTAGAGGTTTCCATGAAAGGAAGGAAATGAAGGGCCGCTGACCTCAGAATGAGGGCTGTGGAGAGTTAGCGGGGGAGAGATGGGGTGGGCGGAAATGAGAGCAGTGAAGGGAAGCAAAGATGATAATTAAACGGTGATCTGTGCCATTTGTGTGCAGTGATTTGTGGGAGCAGCGCATGCCCTTTATAGACTTTCTCATCCCCACCCCCAACCCACCCACTGCCCCGAGATGGAGGTGAGGTTGGGAGACAGCTCCGGAGAAGCCAAGGAGCTTGAGAGGAAAGCACATCTGTGGGCAAGTCTGGGTGGGAGCGAAGCCTCTCAGCTCTGCCCAGCATAGAAGCGAAGCCTCTCAGCTCTGCCCAGCATGGTCTCAGGGGAAAGAAGCGTCCAGTGGGGGAAGTGTGGGACAGGAGACAGTTCCTGCTTGTCTGTGATTAGAAGACTCTGAAATAATTCCGTCTTTGCTTCAACACATACTTACTGAGCACGTACTGCGCTGCTCCAGGGGCTGGGGACATCAGAAGTTTGAGAACTGAGGTCACCAGAGAGGTCAGAGCTAGCTCCGAACATGGGGGCTGGGCCCGCAAAGCCCCTGGGCACCAGGGAAGCTGTTCAGCCAGGTCCGGGGTCTGCCCATCTCAGAGAGGATGCCCGTCTCAGGTCAGGGACCTGAGGGGGTCAGGCTCAGGGCAAGCCGGGTCTCTGAGGGTTTTCAGTTCGTAAGGTCTCGTCTCTGGGAACCCTAGCTGTGCCGCCTGGTGGGAGGTGACAGAATGCTCAACTGCTAAGAACGTATTTGAGAAACGTCCCAGTTTAGCAGCTCATTAAGTTGGTAATGAAGCCCGACTGCTGCCTCTCTCTGGGCCTGGGTCCCGGCTCACTTCACGTCCTGCGTGCAGCAGGAGCGGCCGGTCCAGGGACTGTGCCTTCCGGTGTGGCCGCTGCACCCACCTCCATGCCCACCGGGCACCCCGCTGCACGCAGAGGCCAACACGGGCATTTTCCCCAGTTCAGGTAACTGCAGTCACCACTCGATGAGGGCCTGGCTCATTTCATTCTTATCAGAATCCTATAAGGCCCAGAAGAGAATTCCCCAGAATGAGAGCAAGATGCTATTCTAAGCACTTTGCATGTACAACTCACTGACCCCTTTTAATAATTCCACAGGAGAGTTATTGTTGTTATTCTCGTTTTACAAATGGGAAAAGTGAGCACCAAAAATCACATAACTTACGCAAATCCCCACAGTTGGGTGGGTCTGGTACTGGTGTTAAACCTGGCCAGACCAGTGCCAGCATCGGTTCATGTAAGCCTGTAGTATTTTCCTCTCATTTTACAGAGGGGAAACTGAGACTCAGGAAGGTATTTCAAGCTCATATTTTATTTGATTCGAGATCTAAGTACACGCTATGACCAAGTCTGTGTAAGCTTTTTGAGCTATGCCTTTGGAAGGAACCTGTAAGCGAAGAGTGTGAGAATGGAAACCAAGGGAAATTTGTCTTTCTGATCGTCAGAGTGGACCCGTGGGAGTGCTACCAGGACACCTGGCAGACGACCTGCAGCGTCCTCGAACACCATCGGGACCTCATGAAGGTGAGCTGGGCCGGGCTCTGGGCCGGTGGCCCACAGAAGCCAGGAGGCCTGGGAAAGGTGGACTGCCCCAGTTGTTTCCAGCCTCTCCACCAGCCATGGGGAGACCAGGCTCTGAGCAGCATCCAGGCGGGCAGTGAAACCGGGAACCCAGAGCAGCCCCAGAGCCTGCTCCCTGCCTCGTCCTCCTCCTGAATTTGACTGGGGGCAGTTTTCATCTCCCGGCAGCAAGTTCAGGGCAGGATTCAGAAGCCCGCAGCTGGGAAACTTCAGAAAGTGATGAGAGAAGGAGAGAGGAGCAGTGGGTGGAGGTACAAGCAGCCAGGTCCTCCCACCGCACCTCCAGAGGACCCATTGGTCCTCTTATCCTGAACTATGCCAGGCTGCAGCACCGCACTCCTGCAGGCCGTGTACATCAGGCTCATTCTTTCCTCCTCACAGGAGTCCACACACACTGTGTTCTCACCTCTGATTTATTTGTGGGTAGAAGGATGCATGGGCTTCCGTCTTGACTCAGTGCTAAAGAATCCGCCTGCCCGTGCAAGAGACGGGGGTTCGATCCCTGAGTGGTAAAGATCCCCTGGAGGAGGAAATGGCAAACCACTCCAGTATTCTTGCCTGGAGAATCCCATGAACAGAGGATCCTGGTGGACGACAGTCCATGGGGTCACAAAGAGTCAGACATGACTTAGTGACTAAACAACAAGAAGGAAGTACAAAGAGGTGAACCAGGATATCTTAGGACACACAGTGACTGCCTAGGCCACACTGACAGTTAGTTGCCTGCGGCTTGTGGCTGGGTGCAGTGACCGAAGAGCTGGTTCCGAGGTAAGCGCAGGTTCCACGCCAGCCAGCAGCACCAGTCGGCATGTGCAGAAAGTACCCTTCACAGATGGATACCAGCCCATCAACTCCACCGTGAAAGGGTGAAAAGCAGTGCCATTGACGGCAAGAAGCCCGGCCCACCGAGACAAGACGCAGGGCTTCCTGCTCACCTCCACTGGTCCTGATGCAGAACCCTCCCCCCGCCCCAAACAGTGATCAGAGTGGCATCATCCTGACGCAGGGAGCGCCCCCATTCCATCTGTGTTCACTGTCAGAGGGCCTGTCAGAACCTTCTCCCCGGGGAGCTGTCAGTGGCCTCAACCACCCCCACCCCCACTCCACCTGCTTTATTTGAGCAGACGTGGACCTGGGACTCCAGACCATCCAGGGAGTTAAGAGCGAGAGGAGTAGAAAGGACAAGCTGGCTGGTGCTTCATCTATTAAGCTGAAGAAAACCCAACCCCCTTCTTTCTGCTTTGAGAACCCTTCGCAGACATCCTGAGTCTTTCCTGGTCCCCTCAACAGGACAAGGTGGCCCTGACTTGCTCCTCTGGGCTGCTCTCAACAACAGCAGTAATAAAAGACGTCCTGTCTTACTGTATAAGGATGTGCCCATGAGGGCAGGCTAAGATACACAGTATCCGTCAGATCTCAGTGGCTTCACAGAAGTTTATTTCTCACACTACCGGTCAGCTGGGGGCGCTGCTGCGGGGCTGCGCTCCTTTCAGTCACCAGGAGCTTCAGGCTGCATGATGGAATGAGGAATCAGGGACCCTGCAGGCATTCCTGAGCCTCGGCTCTGCCCAGCCAGAAAGCCTGGCAGCTGTCTTGCTGTCTAAATGTCTGGGCTTCCCGAACCCTCCCTCTGTTACTCATGCCCAGAGGCATCAGCCTGGGCCTGAGATGCTTGGCCAGGAGCCGCAGCTGTTGAGTGATGGTCACAAGCCGGCAGAGAATGTCAGTCCTGATGGCCCCCCGCCTTGGAGCAGGAGCGGGAGCTTGGAGCTGCTGGTAGCTCCCAGTCTCCCTGGTCCCAGCATCAGCCCGGTGTTCCTGGCATGGAAAGTGCACCTGTCAGAGAGATAGACACGGGGCTTAATAGGCGAAGCAAGGCTGTGAGAACATGGGAACCTCTGGAGGGCAGAGCGGGGCAGGTGGCCAGCACGTTTCTTCTCCAGCACAGAACAAGTTGAATGGGACTAATGATGCGTGCAGCGAGAGGAAGACATTCCTTGGCCCCCAGACTGAGAACGTGGCGTTTTTCTTTTCTGGAGGTGAAATCACAATAAAAGGGAGGCAAGCTGTCCCTTCCACTCAACCAGCTGCAGCCGGCCATAGAATCCCACAAAGCAGGCAAAGATGATCCATGGTCCCCAACCTCAGCTGGCTCCCAGATGTGGCATGATACTGTCGTGCCTGTCTCCCAACACAGAAGTGACAAGTCAGCCCGCAAGATCAACGCCTGCCCTTGCAGGGCTCAGAAAGACTCCTGTGCTGCTCTGCCTCCAGGGTGGCGTGTGGAAGATGCCTTTGGAGGGTCACCCCAGCCCTGGGACCTGGGGGTCCCCTGGCAGCCTGTGTGCTCAGTCATGTCCGACTCTTTCCAACCCCGTTGACTATAATAAATAGCCCGCCAGGCTCCTCTGTCCATGGGATTTCCCCAGCAAGAATACTGGAGTGGGGTTGCCATTTCCTCCTCCAGAGGATCTTCCCAACCCAGGGGTCAAACCTGCTTCTCCCTTTTGGCAGGTGGATTCTTTACCCTGGAACCACCAGCGAAGCCCTCCGGCAGAGGGACTCAGTAATCCAGAAAGGGTGGTGGGCCAGGGATGAGGGGAAGCTGGCTCTCAGGGAAGGGAACTTGAATAAGCAACAGCCCGGTGAAGCTCAGCAGATTGAAAATTCATCCTTTGTTTTTCTGCAGCCCAGAAGCTGCTCTCCCACCCCACCACGGGCCGGGGGGCGGGGGTGGGGGGTGTTTCTGGGTCAGCTGTGAAGAATGCTGCGTTATCAGGTCTGTGTTTGCTGTGGCACTAGGAGAAGCAGCCGGCCAGATAACACAGGACAATGGATAATACACAGAGCATTTCCGCTGGGCTCTGGAATGTGTATTTACACTCTGAGCAGGCGCAGAGTTCCCAGAGCCCCGCCTCCCCCTTCCTGCAGCGCAGACATCCTGCTCCGCCCAGCACCGCTCCCCAGCCTGGCCCTGTCGCTGGCATCTCTGGCCTGGCACCGCTCCCCAGCCTGGCCCTGTCACTGGCATCTCTGGCCTGAAGAGGCGGCAGGTGGTGATAGCGCCTGGTGTTTGTGTGACCTTTTCCCGAGCTTGCACAGCCCTTCTGCAGACATGACCTCATTTTGAGTCCCACGAAGCAGGCGGGAAAGGCACGCGCCTTCTACAGAAGGTTACAACATAGGCACAGTTTCTGCCACGTGCCAGATGTTCCAAAAGTGCCCCATGTATGGTCGCTCATGTACGCCCTCCACAACCCAGAGAGATGGCTCTCGTTGCCGCTGTCAGTGAGGCATTCGAGCTGAGGTTCAAAACCAGGTAAGTTAACTATCCAAGGTCACGCAGCCAGAAGGGGGCAGAACTCAAACTTGAACCCAGGTCTGTTCAACAACACATCTGATGCATCTCCCAGGGAGCCATCTCGCCTCCTGCCAGCCGAGAGTGACCTTAGGGCACGACTAGGGTCTAGAACCTTCCCCCAGTCCTCTTTCTCAGCTCTGGGACACCTCACCATGATGGCCAAGCAGAAGAGTGTTTGGGGAGAACTGGAGAAGACTTCACTGACTGTGCTCTTCTTCCTCCCCCCAGCGGGTGACTGGCTGCATCCTTTCCAATGTCAACACACCCTCCATGACACCTGTGATTGGACAGCCCCGAAATGAGACCTCCCAACCCATCTACCAGAACAACAACGCGCCCAGCAAGCCCACCGCAGGTAGGGGAACGCTGGTGTAGAGCAGAGGCTCTGGAACTTCAGAATCGCCTGGAGTTCTTGTTAAAACCCAGATCACTAAGTGCTGTCCCAGAACTTGATTCAGTAGGTCTGGGAGAAGGAAGAGAATTTGCATTTTTAAAATGGCGATGGTCCAGGGACCATGCTTTGAGAACCCGTAAGAAACAGCATCAAAGAGAAATAGTCATAGTGATAGAGACAGATTCAGGGACAGAGAGAGACAGGAGTTGATGGTATGTATTTTAACATAAATATGACTGCCTTAACTGGGAATTAAAGGTACCAAAGGGAACATTTTTCTCTGCCTTTTCCAAGCAGATTGCGCATCCTGCCAAGGTCACACGGTAGGAAGTAGCAGGGAGAGAAGTCAAACCCAGGCAGTCTGCTGCCAGCCCCTAACCCCAGCCCCTCAGCCACCTTCAGCCATCCCTTCAAGGGCCCCCAGCACTTACCCAGCACCTAGTAGTGTCTGCTTGCACAGTGCTCCGTGCGTTACAGAGGTTCTCATTTAATGCAGTAATTCTATGATATAGATATTATATTCCCACTTACGAAGAGAACAGCTCCGGTTACACAGCTCAAAGTTCTTTCCCCCATGGCTCGTCGGCAAAGAATCCGCCTGCAGTGCCAGAGCTGCAGGAGACTCGGGTTCGATCCCTGGGTCAGGAAGATCCCCTGGAGGGGGCATGGCCACCCACACCAGTATTCTTGCCTGGAGAATCCCTTGGACAGAGGAACCTGGTGGGCTACAGTCCGTGGAGTTGCAAGAGCCAGACACAACTTAGCAACTAAACAACAAGATATACCTGCATAGTACACATATAAAAATGGAAAAAAAAAAAACAATATATGAATACTTTAGTGGCAGTTATCTCTAGCGGTAGAATTATGGATACTTATTTTCCTTTTAATATACTTTCTTCTTCTATATTTTCCAATTTTTCAACACTGTCATAAACACCACCAGAAAATATTCCGATTTAGGGCTCAGAATGCTTGTTCCTTGGACTGGAAATGAGAAGCAGGAATGGGGCCATCACATTTCTGTACTTTCTCTCCACCCTCCTTCTGCACCCCCATGACCCAATCCCCATCCCTCAATGCAGCCCCCTAGTTTCCAGGGGCCCAAAGGTGAGGCTGATGAGAGTGTGAGTTATGACTGGTCCTCCCTGTCTGTCCCTGTCTGTCTTGCTCTCTCCCCTAGCCAAGATCCTGGGAAAGGTGGGAGAAAGCCTGAGCCGGATCTGCTGTGTCCGCCCGCCAGTGGAGCGCTTCACCTTTGTGGGTAAGGGAGCAGACTCCCCGCCTCCTTTTCTGTCCCTCCTCCCTCTTTCATGCAGCAGGCACCCCTAGCACCTGCTGTGGCCTGAGCACTTAGAGTGCGATGATTGAGAGAGAATAGATGTCACCGGGCCTGCAGAAGCCATCTGTGACAGGAGCCCAGGGATGCCACCATCCTGGCCTGGGGCTCCCGGAGATCTCCCGCACTCACCTTCCTTCTCTGGGCTGTGCTGGTCCCTCTCTCCATGGAATGTGTCCTCCCACCTGAGAGTTCTCAGGGGCCCAGGGGCCCCTCTCAGGCCCTCCCGGCTCTGCCCATGTCAGCACTTCTGCTGAGAGGCTAAGAACATACACACCCTTTTCTTAATTCTCTCCTTTTTTTTTTTTGGCCGCTCCCCAAAGGACTCAGCATGAATGAGAATATCCACCTTTGGGCCTCTTTCTGCTACAAACCCAAATTCGACTCTGCAGGAGAGCTGAAGGTCTAGCCCTCATTCTTTTGACTCTGGGGCTGACTACTGCCATCTCTCAGGTTTCCGACATCCAATCTTGAACCACCCGAGATGGTCGAGGAGGAAGGGAGGCAGGGGGCCAGGGGGCCATGTCTGTGGTGCTGTGCACACCGTGGGCCTCCTGAGAGGCGCACCTTCAGTGCCCGCGGCAGAGCCTCTGTCTCTTTCGCATCTTCCTGGGCTTTGCCTTCTGCCATATGAAAAATCTCAGCCTGCTCAGTTTTACTTATTCTCTGAGCCAGGTAACCCTGAACAAGAGAGGCCCACCTCCTTGTGACTCTGCCAACTGCCTCCTTAGGTTTGAGGATGCTGCTCTTGGGGCCAGCCTCCTCCCACCCCAATACAAAAGCAAACAGAAGGCGCTCGGCGTGAGTGCGTGTGTGTCCGTCACTGGCTACCCAGCCAGGCGGCCTAGTTCTGAATTCCCAGAAGAGTGACTCCTGCCCTGGAGCCTGAGGAAGTGTTCCCTCTCCGTTTATGCTACTCAGACGTCCCTCCTGGCACCCACCCATCCCAGCCCGCGCTCTCCCTCTTAGAGGCCCCTCGGGCAGACTGAGAGTCAGGCACAAGTGCCAGGAGGCTGGTCCCCTGATGCTTCTGCATTTCCTCTTGCCTCCCTAGATGAGAATGCCAACCTGGGCACGGTGATGCGGTACGAAGAGATAGGTGAGTGGGGCTGGGAAAGCGGGAACATTCGGGGCCTCCTGCCTCCAAATGGGCACAGTCGGGGAAGGGAGAGGCTTGCAACCCCTGTGGGCGTTTGAGCAGGGTCTGCTCTTGGAAGGGTAATTAACTACTTTCAAACTAAGAGCATATTCTTAGTTATCTTCCAGTTGGGAGTTACCATCTCCCAACTGGACTCCGGCAGGTTCCCAGGAGGTAGGATGGGGTCTGTGGGCAGTTTCCCCTTCAGAGCTTCTTTATCTCATCCAAAAGACACGGAAGTTGAGTTCATTGCCAGCCAGAGATTCTTCTCTTGCCCGCAACACCGTGCCCACAGAAGATCCCCTACCTTCCTCAGCGGAGGGGTCCAGTGCTTGGAGCCACGTCTGCGGTCTCCCCCACAGCCTTGGGTGGACACTAAGGCCCTGACTGTGTGACGGCAGTAAAGGCCCCTGGCCAGAGCAGATGGAGGGTGGTTACACGGAGCTGTCAGGATGGGAAGGTACTGACTCCCTTCGAAGTGAGATGAGTCCTGAGTAACCCTAGGAAACAAGCCAGGAAGCACATTTTCCCAAGGTTCCAGAGTAGCTTAGAGACAGAAGTGTCTGAAGCCAGAAAAGCTCAGATGGACAACGAGACTGGAGCTCGAGCTGCTGCAGGCCCTGGGTGACAAGGAGGGTCAGTGACAGCGGGAAGTCCCCGAAGGACTCAGCAAGGATGAGAATACCCATCTTTGGGTCTATTTCTCCTACAAACCCAAATTCGATTCTGCAGGAGAGGTGAAGGTCTAGCCCTCGTTCTTTTGACCCTGGGGCTGACTAATGCCATTTTGGAGAAGGAAACAGCAAAGCACTCCAGTACTCTTGCCTGGAGAATCCCATGGACAGAGGAGCCTGGCGGGCTACAATCCATGGGGTTGCAAAGAGTCAGACACGACCAGCGACTAACACACACACACTGCCATTTCTCAGGTTTCCAGTTTCCAACCTTGAACCAATAGGAGGTCGAGGAGGAAGGGAGGCACGGGGCCAGGGTGTCATCTCTGCGGTGCTAGGATTGGGGGGCCGCTGGGTGTCCAGCAGACATGCTCAGTCTTCAACTTCCAGCTGCAAAGATACTCCAGGCCCCCCTCCTAGGGATGGAGGCACTGGGTTCTCCCAGGAGGCCCAGCAGATGTGACATCATTTGAAGGAACGTCTCTGGGTCTTGTCCTCTGATCCCCGGCAGTGATTCACCTGAGTTGGCTCATACAACCCACTAGAACCATTTGAAAATTTTCAGGAATTTTACCAGCTGGTTGTTAAACTCAGTCAATCAGAAAAATTAAATTATGCTAAGTAGCAGTTAAACAGGCTTCCTGGGTAGCTCAGCTGGTAAAGAAACCGCCTGCAATGCAAGAGACCCCTCAATTCCTGGGTCGGGAAATTCCCCTGGAGAAGAGAGAGGCTGCCCACTCCAGTATTCTTGGGCTTCCCTTCTGATTCAGCTGGTAAAGAATCCACCTGCAATGCGGGAGACCTGGGTTCGATCCCTGGGTTGAGAAGATCCCCTGGAAGAGGGCATGGAAACCCATTTCAGTATTCTTGCCTGGAGAATTCCATGGACTTCTCCCTAGTCCATGGGGCTGCAAAGAGTCCAGACACGACTGAGTGACTAATCACAGCACAGAAGTTAAATACCTTGTATTAAAAACAGAGGTGATAAATCCTCAAAACTCCTCAATTCCTTAAGTTTTAGTAGCTTTTATTTACCAGCACATGGCTGTCTGAAGGCCACAGGAAAGAGTACTTCTGGGTGTTCCCCAAAGCCAGCAGGAGTATTCACCGCCCCAGGTGCCACAGCCACAAACACCCAAAAGCCTTGTACGCCCCCTGCCTGGCGGTTCCACACCTGGCCAGGAACTATCGTCTCAGGGACAAAGTCTTCTTGACCAGCTGCGCTCAGAGCAGTCTTCAAACTTTCAGCTGTATTCCAGTGTGTGTTTTCCTCCCATACCTTGTTCCGGGAAGAATGTATTGTGAGCCAGTTTCACCTGGGACCTCGTTCACCTCCCCAGCACCCAGGGCCCGTGTATCAGGTTGCAGCCTGGGGAGTCCCCCCTCGGACACAGAGGCAACGCAGTGGGTGTTTGCACGGCCACGCTCCTAGCATTCCCTGTGAGGCTTGGCCCCATCTGACCCCCTCTTTCGGAGAAAGGAAAGCTGAGTGGCCACAGCCATGTGGATGGATTCGTGGCCTGGTATGGTACAGGGGGGCGGCTACCGCAGGCTGTGATGGGAGCTGGGAAGGGCCTCGGGGCCTGGGGCTTCACAGAAGCAGGATTCCTGGGAGGAGAGTGTGGCCAAGGAGGGCTGACTCTGGCTCCCTGGATCCTGAACTGGGGAAGGAAGTGGGGCCCAGAGGAGTAGCCTGGCCACCAGACCCCTGTGCCGTGAGGCCCCCTGGCTCACACCTCCTCTTTCTGAAATCCCCTTGCACGCTTCACAAGAAGGAAAAAGCCGTTATCTCCTGCCTCAGTTAGCATCTATGGCGCCATTTCCACTTTTTTAACCAGGCCTGCCTCAGACCCAAGACTTGGGGCTGAGAACATGCGCCTTCATCTCCCAGGGTAAAGCGGAGAAACCACTGCTGCCCTCCAGCGGCCACACGTGGGAATCCCAAGCCCTGCCGGGACCTCTGGCCTGTGACAAATCCGTCCGTTCCGGTGCTGCAAGCAAAGGTGGAAACCCTTGCTTTAGCTTGCTCTGCTTTGGCTTTAAAAATAATCCTACGTTATACTCGAGTGAGAAAGTGAGTCTCTGGATCGGGAATAGAAAAGAGATTCATTTCCGTGACTGCAGAGCAGGGTTTCTCCACCTTGCCGCTGTTGTCATAGCAAACAGGCATAACCCTGAGGTGTGGGGGCTGCTGTGTGCCGTGTGGACTTTTGAGCAGCGTTTCTGCCCTGCCAGCACTACCTGCCGGTAGCACACCTCTCTCTCCAGCCTTGACAACCAAAAAACACGTCTCCTGACCATGCCAGATTCTGGAGACAGAATCGCCCCTGGTTGAGACCACTGGTACAGAAAGTGCCATGGTAGCTGAGGGCCAGCATGTCTCCTGGATGTGGCCTCCCTCCTAACCGAAGTTTCTAGGCCCACGGTTATAGAGCTGCAGCCTTTCAGCAGAGCTGACCTGGAACTCTGGGCGGCTCCGAGCAGGGGACAGGGAACATCAGGAACCCCAGAGTCAGCCGGGTCTGGCTCCTCTCGGCCATCCCGAGGCTGGAGGCATACCATGACCAGGGCCTCCATGCTGCAAGAGCCGAGGCCACAGTCTCCATCCAGCCCTGCCATCCCGGGGTACCCAGAAGGTTCTGAGACAGCCTGCCCGCATGGCCTCTGTGGCCAGCCTCTCTGCCGTTCGCCCATTCAGCACATCCTGAGCACCTACTGTGCACAGGTCACTCTGCTATGTAAAGATCTATTAATGTCCCTGGATGTAATCGGAACATTAGACGACAGTGTGACCGTGCAGGCTGCAGGAATAGTTAGGAGTGAAGGTCCCGGTGCTGCAGGTGACTTCCCTAAGGATGGGCTGTCCCGACCCGGGACTGTGAGATGCTGGCCCTGTCTTTTGTCAGCCCAGCAGTCTCCCACTGAGCCTGCAGCTGGGGCGAGCTCACCACCTGAAAGTCCTCGGCAGGTCCCTGAGCTAGCTACGGGGTCTGAGGCAGGCAGAGCTGCCGGCCCTTTCTCAGCCTCAGGGGACAGGGTGGCAGCGGTCTCTGGAGGCTCAGAGCGGGGCTGTGTCACTGGTTCCAACAGGATACCCAGTCACAGCCCCCTGATGATAGAGCCTGGTGGCTCAGACTGTAAAGAATCCGCCTGCAATGAGGGAGACCTAGGTTTGATCCCTGGGTGGGGAGAGATTCCCTGGAGGAGGGCATGGCCACCCTCTCCACCCTGTCCCCCCGAGGATCCCGGGGTTCTTTTTCACCCCCGTTGCTCAGTTTTCATGCCTGAGTCAGTCTGCTGCCTGTTTTAAGCGACAGTGGCCTCGCTGGGATAATTCAGACTGGGCTTAACGAGGGAAGAAAAACAAGTGATAAGCTGGAAATGTGCCTGGGAGTTGGGAAGGTGGGGGCAGCCTCGCTTCTCAAGCCCTTTGCTGAGGACGGTGGCCACGGACATGGGGGACGTCTGATGAGCTGAGCCAGCTGATGAACTGAGGGTGCACTCCACGTCCCCTGCCCCCGTCTCATCGCGCTCGTGATGGAAGACGTCCCAGAGGACGCCCAGCAGCAGAGAAGCCAAACTCCAGGGGCACTTTGGTTTGATACAGGGCAAAAAAGAGAGTCTCTGAGACCTCACACAAGGCATGTGGCCGGCCGCCTTAGACCCTGGGTGACCAGCCACCCTGGCTTGGCTTGAGACCCGTCCTGGAAACCCTTCGGTCTCGGCAAACCAGGACAGTTATTCTCTCTGTCTGCTCCATTGCGCGGGAGAGAGGGTCCTCCTGCAGGGAGTGAGAGTGGTCTGTAAATGAGCCTGGGGGAGGGGTGAGCAGAGGTTTCAGTGCCGCACACAGCGCGGGGCCTGTAAGATCTGGGCTCTGGAGCCCCACGGATGGGACGCTTCTGTGCTGGCCGGAGGAAGAAGGCTGAGATTTGAACGTTTCCCTCTCCCTTTGCCAACTCTGTCCCCACTCAGAGCTGCGGATCTTGCTGCTGTGCGGCAGTGACCTTCTGGAGTCCTTCTGCATCCCAGGGCTGTGGAACGAGGCAGATGTGAGTAGCAGGGCTGTGGCCTGCGCACAGCTGGTGTGGGGCAGGATGGGGAAGGGCACTCAACTCTGACCCCTGGTCCTCCCTCCCCAGCTTGAGTCTCCCATCTCCTGTGAGCTCCCAGGAGGGCAATCCATTCACATCATGATGGAAAAAAATTCTCACTGCCCCCAAGCTTTATCTCCTCCTGTATTTTTACACTCACTCCCCCTCATGCTTGCTCCTGGAAAGCCCCTGGGAAAAAAGCAATCTGAGTCATAGAATACCTTCGCTAAATAGCACTTGGAGTATGTGTGCTGGTGGGGAAAGGTGGGGGAGGGAGGTCTTCTTAAAAACAGAAAAAGTCTTTGTCCTTTTGAAATTATTATGTGCTTTGTTTTCCTTTGGTTCTTTTGAAGAGGTGGTGAATACCACCCTAGAATTTCCTTAACAAGAGAAAAAGAGTCCAGAGGGGAGAAGTTAATGATAAAAGGTCAGTAGGATCCTTCTGACAACTGACTTGGGATTTAGGGAACCAGGAATTGAAACTTAGACCATTTAGAAGCTCAGCAGACAAGTTGTTACCAGATCTGGCCGAGATGGTCTTAAGCTAGCTAATTCATAATTTCCTCACCCTTTAGACATACATTCATTTTTGTTCTTTCATGAATTCATTCATCTGATAGTCAGACCTAATGCTAGCTTCCAAGCCCATGGCCCTTTGAAAGTGAGTTTCTCATGGCAGATATTCTAGACCTAGTACATTTTTTTTTATTACTTACTGTGTGACCTCATGCAAATCACTCAACTCCTTTGAGCCTTGGTTGTTTTTTTTTTAACCTAAAGAATGTTATCTGTAGCATTCTGAGATTTTAAAAGCAATATCCAATACAGTCTCTGCCCCAAAGTATTGGGTGGCGAGATGCCAGCTTATGAAATTTTTTCATGTACATGTATGTCTCTGAAAAGAGAGAGAAAGAGACAACCTTCAGGGTGAAACTCAAGATCTTAGTTCTGCTCCAGCACAGCTCATGACGAGATATATTACAAGCATCAGTTTTTCCCATCTCAAAAATGGGCATCATAATAGTAACCCTTTAATGGGGTTTGGGAAGAATTAAATGAGATTGTCCATGTAAAGTGCCCAGCCTAGCACCTGACACACAGTGACATACAAGAACTGCTAATAAGTGAATCTACCTAAATAGGCACATCGATAAACATATAGACGTTCAAGGTGAAGGGCATAAATGCTAACACGCTGTGGGATAACCAAGCAGGGAGGGAGAGTTTCAGGGGAAAAGAATTATACTGTGTAAGCCCTTTCCTCTCCACGCCTGAACGATTTCTTGCAGGTGAAATTTTAAACCTCTTTTCAATTCTGGATTAAGTGGCTTAATTAACTTTTACTTTCCTCTCTACTTCGCAAGCTGCTTTGAAAGGACAAAGTAATGCGGGCGAAGTTCTGTACAAGATTTCAGCAAAGCTCTTTCAAGAATCCAGGCAAATCCAGGCAGTAGCCTGAGGCCCCTTCCCACGGGGAGGCCCTGGCAGCCAGGGAGGGGATTTACAGGGATAAAGTGACAGGGCAGCAGCCTGAAGGGCCACCACGTGAGCAGGACGTCTCAGGGGCCTCCGTGCTCCATGTGACTTGTGACGTGTGCCTCTCAAGGGCAGACACGGGCTTTCTGGAGCCTGAAACGGACCCAACTGGGGGCCCCTGAAGCACAGCCAGCCCCTCTGCGCTGACCGCAGGGCCTCCAGCTTCTCTCCGAAATGGCTGCTCCTGACCTCGTCAGGTCCGACTTGTAGAGACCGGGGAAAAGAGCCCCAGGTCACTCCTCTTCCGGTTGGGCCCTGATGCTGAAGTAGGACCACCCGGAAGAGGAATGCGTCGGTTAAAAGAGAAAAATTGAGGAACCGGAAGCTGTTGATGTACTGGGGCTGTGGCGGTGAGGGCGGAGTTGACGCTCATTTAGTCAATCGTCTTCCCACCTGGCCATCACCCCGGGGATCACAGCACACCCAGCCTGGCTACTCCCAGAGGCACAGCAGATCCAGACCAAGCAGGGACCCCACGTCTGTGTGGCTGAAGGGGCTGAGGATGCCCGTCCACAGCACGGGCAGAAGGGCGATTGGCTGAAGCAGACCCTCAGGGCTCACTCCAGAAAGTTTTCTAGAGCCTGGAGTGCCAACCTCCCCACCCTCGAGCACCCACGAAGACTCTGTGGGGTCCTTAGAATCATGCCATCTGAGGTAGAGGCAAAAAAAAAAAAAAAAAAAAACACAGAAAAAAACATGGAGCTGTTTCCTTACACAATGAGTGTGACGCTCAGGCCACAACAGAGGTGTGCCAGAAATACCACATGTAATTTATTCATACCAAATGAAAATTCAACTCCAAATCACTACCCCCAGGGATGATGGGAAATAGGTCTCCGTCATTGCTGACCAGCAGAACCTGAGAGGCTCTGAACACGAGCATCTCTTCATCAGGGTTGCCACACCCATCTTCCCTATCGGGACCTTGAGGTGGGTGGCCCTCCCCTCCGTGCCCACCTGGGGAATGGGACTCCTGACTGAGTCTGGAAGCCCCGTGCTAGACCCCACCCACCTATGATCCCGCCCCTGTCTCCTTCTGAGGCTTTGCCCTTAGGGCAGGGGGTGGGCATCACAGATCTCTAGCTTCTTTCTAGTGTGGAAGGAGTAGGGGGCAGCGGAACCTCTTCTTTCTCCTTTGAGGATAGCGCCCCTATTTCCTCTTCCCTCCTCGGGACTTCACGGGACATCTCATCAGTGTGTTTAAAGCCAGTGACTTCAAAACATTCTGTTTTCTGCCCTGCAAATTCCTTTCTTAAAGGCTCTGGTTCTCTGCTAGAAATAGGGTGGGGATTGGACAAAGGTGGACACAGGGAGCATGACACTAGCTAGCAACTCAGTGATTTATCCCACTGTCCGTACTGGGGAAGGTTGGAGCTCACGGTCTAGGAAAGAAAGGTTTTTCTTTCAGGTGAGCCTTCCTGATTCTAATAGAAAGTTCTGATCTCAGGTGGCCTCAGCCTACACTGGCTTGAAGCAGGGTTTCAGTTCCTGGCCAGAGACTGAGGCCGGGTCTCGGAGGTGAGAGCACCGAATCCAGCCGCTAGACCAGTGGTCTGAAACAAGACCCTAGCCCTTCAACTCTGCAGAAAAGAATTCCCACAAAGACAGCAAGGAGTGTAACGAGTGAAGTGTTTATTAGGAGTAGAAGAACACAGTACGTGTGGGTAGACACATGGGCAGATTCATTGAGCCGCGCCCTGGTGATAGTTTGAATCACTTTTATGAGACATTTCTTACAGATTTCCTTTGGCCAATCATTTCAATCTTTCTGGTTCTGGGGGTGTATTTAGTATATCTCAGGAGCCTCCCATGTCTATGCACATATATCAGCCAAGATGGATTTCACCCAAGAGGCCCATGGATAGTTGGCATCACTCCACTTTTGACCTCTTAAGGAAATTTCTAGTCGGAAGGGTTTCCTTGACTTTGAGAATGAGAAATGTGTAGTCTCTTATCTCTTATCCAGGCAGGGCTCAGCCTCCTCTCTTGATTGTACTGCTACTGATGTTTTAGAGTTTCTGTCCACAGGAAATGAACTCCAGTTGCTTCCTCTGGTGGTGGTGGTGGGGTGGGGGCATGCTCCATCTACCTCCTGCCTCTGTTCTACCCTCCGGAGTTTGCCTGGAAGCAGCTGGTTTTAGGGATCTCTGTTCCTAACTATGAGATTACCAGGGATGAGATATGCGAGACCCACTTCTGCCCCCAGTTTCATGCATTTAGTCCACCCTTTATCAGAACACATTTCTTTTCATCACCCAGTGTCCTGAGTGATACTTGATGGCCGCAGACCTGTGCTCAGTGACCATGAGCCTGAAGCCCTGAATCTGCCAATGATGGGACAGGAAGGTGGGGAAGAGAGCCAGATTTCTTGGAAAAGTCCTAGGTCCTTCCTCTGCATTCCAGCCTCCCATGTCATCTCCAGAATTCTCACAAACAAAGGAGGGGAGAAGCCACTAGTTCAAACAGGTCTGGGGGGAACATAGGAGCCTCCCCACCCTTCTGTAAAGAACGCTCATCAGAGGCCATGGAGCAGCAGTGTCCCCACCCAGTCGGAAGCAGCTGGGACAGTCTGTTCCACAACAGGGCTGCCAAGGCCTCTCTCAGCACAATCACAGACTCTCCATTGAGTCACTCTTGCTCTTTCTTTTGCTTTGGATTCCTGAACCTGTGCTCTCCATCCAGAAATGTAATTACACAACCATTCACCCCAACCCAAGCACATCCCTTGGGCATTTCGCAATAGACACAAAGATCCATTAGCCCATAGTGAATTCTGACCTTCTCTGACCAGTGAGACACCCCTTCTCCTTACATTCCATGGAGAGAAAATGCCATACGTGTTCATCACATTTCTCTCCATGGAACACAGAAGAGTTGCTTCTGCATGGTCTGGCACTTGGCATTTTCATTCTCGATTCCCGAGAGAAAGCAAGATCCAGTTTCCTGGACCCTCTTTTGGAGATGGGGACCCAGTCCCTCCAGCCTATCCCATTCCCAAGCTTTTAATTAGAATAGTCTCTCCCAGGAGACCTGATCTTTGCTGTGCTGCATCCTGACGCTGGGCTTCCCTGGTGGCTCAGGTGGTAAAGAGTCCACCTGCAATGCAGGAGTCCCAGGTGTGATCCCTGGGTCAGGAAGAGCCCCTGGAGAAGAGAAAGGCTACCCACTTCAGTGTTCTTGCCTGGAGAATCCCATGGACAGGGGAGCCTGGTGGGCTGCAGACAACAAAGTCCCGGAGTCGGACATGACTGAGCAACTAAGCCCACAGCAGAAACACATCCTGACACGAGCAGGGAAGCAGGTATCCAGGCATGGACCAGGGTCTGTGAGGAGTCAAGGCCAAAGCCTAAAGGGTCAAGTCATGGGCAGATTTGTGACAGGAAACTCTTACCCGCTTCCCGTTCCTCAAACAAAGCCCACCG